CTCTGACTTAGCCACCGATTGATTATTTTAATTATTTTAAATCGGTCTGTCCATTACGCTGCGGTAGGCATCGAGTGTGACCTAGTGCAGATTGTGTATAGTTTTGTGGCTTATGAGCGACATGGAGACCACTAGCGAGGACGACAAGATCTTGCGAATGGCTAGACGCCCGATAGCCCACGTGGCATTAGGATCCGAGTGTGACAGGTTACTGTTCTGCCAACTTAGGGAGAGACAGCAGCAGCAGCGGAGAGCTAAAGCAGCAGAGGCAAGCAGGGCGTTCGCAAACGAAGCCACTGCTTCAACAGCCATGGCAACTGCTGCGCAACAGAGTTCCCAGGCCAGCAGTCCAAGGACCGTAGGGTCAACGATTGCGCAGACCCTGAGTCAGTCCACTGGTGTTATGGCAAGCCAGCCAATAGTGTTGACCCCTGAAGAGGTCGCCATACAACAAGCAGCACTTTAGGAGGCACAACTACAAAAGGCTTTAGGAGAGAGAAAGGCAGAAAAAAAGAGAATGATCGGGAGAAGATCAAGGATGCAGCGGAGACAAGCGGACGTTAGTGAGTTGGAGACGATGGAGCTGACAAACATGGATGGTGATCTGAGGACCCTGCGTGCAGATGTAGTGGAAATGCAAGACCATTAGACGACTCTCTTACAGGACATCCAGCAGAGCTTGTCGGGCGAGCTCAGGCAGCACCATCACCATTAGGGCCTGGTGCTCGACCTGTGGTACAACCTCCTCCTTTCTTCCCACCGGTGAGTGGGGACACGACAAACTTAAAATTATTTCCTACGGGTTATCGGTTCAAGTCCGATAGTGAGCATACTCGCTTGGTGAAATTGGTGAAAATGGTAAACACGACAGACTAAAACACTTCGTTGGTTCGAGCGAGTCGGGACCACGACGAATATAACTTAATAGGTCAAAGTGTCATATTGTGAATTTGAAAACACGGGTTCAAGTCCCGTTACCGTATGTCTCTTCAGCATCGGGGCAAGCCGTTTCCCTAGGTATACCTGTAACAGGAGGGTTCTCAGGAGGTCCTAGTGTACAGGTTCCTGTACAGACAGTGTATTCCTAACCTCCGTTGCAGATTGTCGTAACTGGGCAGCTTGCTGTATCACAACCAGCACAACTGGTGGGCACACAGCCAGCACGATTGGTGGGCACACAACCCCACCAACAGTTAGTGCAGCAGCCTGCGCCCCAGGGTCCACAACCCGGAGTGGGAGAGGTACCGGGACAAGGCCAGTGGGTACCAAAGACGACCATTGCCTCACCTAAACCCTTCTCAGGGGATAAGAGGTGCGAAGACCTTGACACATGGTTGAGGTCAGTGCCGGTCTATGTTAAGTGCAAGTTAACCTTGCCACACGAGGAAGTGCTTGTGGCTGCCTTGTATCTGGAGGGGAGTGCAACACGATGGTTAAGCGGGTTAGTACAACTGCAGGGATACGGACATGACTTCGGCGCTTGGGCAGTCAACCAGAAACTGGAAGACTTACTGAAGCTGGTGGAAGAGAGGTGGCATGATCCTTAGGAGGCCCAAAAGGCCACTGACGCGATCCTGACTTTGAGCAATAGACCGTTCAAGTCATCGAGGGATGCCACATGTTGTACAGCGTCTGATCTGTGTACCTGGAGAGCGCTATGACCCCAGGTCTTGCTAACCACGTACCTGAGATGTCTCCCTATGCCACTCAGGAATCAGTTGGCTGGCGAGGCAAACATCAATGTACACAACTTCCCCTCGTTTAGCAAGAAGGCCCTAGACCTAGATGCAAAGATAGGGCATGGGCACCAACCCACGATGGATGGTAGGAAGAAAGCACTGCCTCCCAACTGGAAGGTGAAGGGTCACATCAAGTTCGTCGACAACGATGGTTCTACCATCGAATTAGACGACGACTTCCAGGAGGGAATACGTACAGAGGCGGGCAGCGTAGAGGCTTCCGAGGGTGGAGTAGTCGTTGGCTCAGTACAAAAAGGCAAGGCCGGTAGACGCCGTGGAGGCTCCCGGTCTAGGAGTCGAGTTGACCCCAATGCTCCTCCATGAGAGAAAGCGGGTCTTACTGAGGACGTGTGGAGGGATCGGTACACTCGGCAGGCTTGCATCCGTTGTGGCCAATATGGCCATAATCAGTTCAAGCGTCGAAATAAGAAGGTGATCGAGAAGATTCCGCCTACAATGGGGCAGGCGTTGGGATCCTCCGCTCTCGTAGGTAGCAATGTTGCCAGTAGTTCTGGAACTGCTTCGGGATACAAGTCGGGCCAGTAGGAATAGTAGCTGTTCCTGCTAGGGTCGAGGTGGTGGATACGCCCTCACCATCTTGAGAGACGGCCCGAGCTACTGACTTCGTAGTCGTCTCGGGAACACATTTGGATCCTCTGTTCGCTGAATGTGTTTCAGTCCTTAGAGGAGCATGTGAGTGGTCTAGATCGGACCCGCTAGCTTTTTGGACGGCCATGGCCAAAGCCCCTAAGGGTGAGTTGTTCGTCGGCAAGGAAGTCACCGGCGACCGCAAGGTCGTGCCCTATTATGACACTTGCTCCACGCCGAATTTCATTAGTCACGCGTGTGTTGAAAGGTTGCGCTTACAGGGGCAAGTGCAGCGCCTGAGTCGACCTGCGGAGTCGACCTGTGCCAACAAACAGCACATGGTAGTTAATGACAACCTTAAAGACCTTGAGTGTCTTTTCCCGTACGCGGGAGGGGAACTGAGACATCGAGTCTCGTTCCTAGTCAGCAATGATCACCCTATAGATATTTTGTTAGGTATGTACTACCTCTCGGTTGCACAGCCACAGTTTGACTGGGACCGAAAAGTGGTCAAACACACTTTGCGCGGAGGGGGGACCGCCAGATTACATAAGTTTAAGGCTAGTAGTCTGATCGAGTCCTACGGATGCATGTGTGCGTCCGCGTTCTATAATTACTATAAGCAAAATCCGAAGGAGGGTATGTACTTAGTCTATGTCTTTGCAGCAGGCGAGGCGGTGAAAATGCCGTCGGAGATAGAGGGAGTAGTCGCTAAATGCCCTGATCTATTCGAAGAGCCGAAAGGGGTCGTTGAGAGGGAGGTCGTCGACTCGATAGAGATTATCCCAGGGTCTAGCATACCGAAGGGTAGGATCTATCGGATGTCTCCAGCGGAGCTTGATGAGCTTCGTCGACAGCTCAAGGAACTCATAGAGAAGGGTTGGATCCGGCCTAGCATCTCCCCTTACGGATCGCCAGCCTTATTTGTATCGAAGAAGGGGGGAACCTTGAGGATGTGCATTTGATTGTAGGGGCTCAATGCCATGACTGTACAAAACGCAGAGCCCCTACCGCGCATCAATGACTTGTTGGACCGAGTGGAAGGGTGTCGGTACTTAGTAAGATAGATCTGAAGTTCGGGTACCATCAGATTGCAATACTGCCGGAGGAGCAACAAAACCGTGTTTCAGACCAGGTACGGTCTGTACGAGTTTGTTGTGATGCCTTTCGGCCTTTGCGATGCTCTTGGCACCTTTCAGTACGCCATGAGCCGGATTTTTCATGACTACTTGGACAAGTTTGTCATCGTGTACCTTGATGACATACTTGTCTTCAGTAGGACTGTCGAGGAGCACGCTGATCACTTAGACAAAGTCCTAAGCCTCCTTCGACAACACCAGTTCAAGATCAACGGAAGAAATGCGAGTTTGGCCGCACCTGGATCTTGTATCTGGGTCATGAAACTTTCGCGAAAGGATTGAAGCCCGATGACGCGAAGGTGGCCAGCATTCGTGACAGGCCGCGTCCTCAGTCTATGACTGAGATGAGGTCCTTCTTAGGGATGACCGAATACTATCACAATTTTGTCAAGAACTATAGCATAATGGCCGCCCCTTTGACGGATCTGACACGCCTTGACACCCCATGGGAGTGGACAGACAGGTGTGAGGCTGCGTTCAGATATCTGAAGCACTCCCTCACTCACCATGAGGTCTTGAAACTGCCCGATCCTGATAAGCCGTTTGTTGTAACCACAAATGGCAGCCAATATGGCATTGGTGCCGTACTTGCACAGCAAGAGGGGAAAAAGTTAAGGCCGGTAGAGTACATGTCCAAACAGATGCCCTCTCAAAAGCTGGCGAAGTCCATGTATGAGAAGGAACTCTATGCGATTTACAAAGCATTGACTCACTGGAGGCACTACCTGCTTGGTCGCTTCTACGTCAGGACTGATCACCAAACCCTGAGGTGGATGAAGACTCAACCGGTACTCTCCGATGCTTTGAAGCGATGGATCGAAGTCATAGAGCAATATGATTTTGAGCCCCAGTACATCAAGGGGGAGTACAACAAGGTTGCTGATGCGTTGTCGCGTAGGCCAGACTTCCTGGGTGCGCTGGTCACCGAATTTGGGCTTGCGGACGATGTTACTCAGTCTTTGGTGGAAGCCTATCGCGAGGATCCGTTTATGGCCGAGATCATACGCAGACTCGAGGCAAAAAACAAAGCAATTGCTGACGAGTTTATGCTGGTCAACGGCCTGCTGTTCCTTGAAAAGGCTGGGAATAAATGCTTGTGTGTTCCAAATAGTGAGTCTTTGTGTAGTTTATTTTTAGGCGAATGTCATGATGCCACCAGACATTTTGGGTATATAAAGACTGCAGCAAACCTGCTGCAGCGATTTTGGTCCCTCAATGATGAAAGATGCGAAGTTGTACGTGGAGACTTGTCAGGTGTGTCAGAGAGACAAGCCACGTACCCAGGCCCCTCTTGGGCTTCTCAAGCCCCTTCCGATTCCGGAAATGCCCGGTGAGAGCTTGTCTATGGATTTCATGGACACGTTGGTCACCAGCAAGAGTGGAATGAGATATATCTATGTCATTGTGGTAGGTTAAGTAAGTTCGCTAGATTAGTTGCAATGCCTGCTACAGCTAAGACCGAGTATGTGATCAAGCTGTTCAAAGAGAACTAGGTCAGAGACTTTGGACTTCCAAAGTCTATTGTGAGTGACAGGGATGTTAGATTCACCAGTGTGTTGTGGAAGGCTGCAGCTGCAGAACAGGGAACGCAGCTGCAGATGACTTCCGGGAACCACCCAGAGGCAAATGGCCAAGCAGAGAAGCTGAACTGCGCTGTACAACACCTGTTGCGGCACTACATTAAGCCCAATCAGGTGGACTGGGATGAGAAACTTGCTCTCATTGCCAGCCTGTACAACAACGCTGTGCACAGTGCCACGGGGGTAAGCCCTAACAGTCTGCTACTGACTTTCAAGCGTAGATGCCCCTAGACTTTCTACTACCTGACAACCTGACAACTGCTGCACCGGGCACACGTGAATATGCAGCAGGCAGTAGAACAGATGCATAAGGCACAGGCGGCAATGATAGAGTCTGAAAACAAACACCGCTGCCCATCCATATTTCAGGTAGGGGACAGAGTCTGTGTGAAGTCCTCAGAACTGGGACAGGAGCACGGGATATTCCGCAAGCTCATTCCACAGTACTTCGGACCGTGGGAGGTTATGGATGTTGTTGGGGGAGATCTGGATGGGCCATCTTATGTAATCCGGATCCCTGGTCATCTTTGCATTTACCCTGTCTTTCACGCCTCCAAACTTGCACCTTTCAAGGAAACTGACCAGTTTCCCTCTCGTCGCTCAATGCCCCCAACCATGGATGGAGAGGTCGACATGGATGACATCGTGGACCACAGGGAAATGCCAGTCCCAAGTCCAACAGGCAGGGGACGTCCTCCTAAGCCGAAGCTGCAGTATCGCGTTTGGTTCAAACATCACACTGATCCTAAGGAGGACAGATGGTTTACCAGGGAGGAAATAATGCAGACCGCGCCACAGGCTGTCGCTCACTACGAGAAGTCACTGCAGAAAGGAAAGCGCCAGATTGAGTAATGGGACTCCTCAGAGGACTGTCGAAGTATGGAGGAGGGAATGCGAGGTACAAGGCCTCGATACGCCCTATTGGGCCCTATTTTCAGTACAGTCGGCCGCCCTAAGTGAAGGCAGGCTCGACCAAGGCCAACCAACAGGCCCATCTTTGGGGTCACCACGCAACTGGGGAAATTCAGGCAGCTGCGCAGCGTCAGTTGGTTGGGAGCACCCAGGCCCGGGCTTCCTTTTTCGTATGTAACTGAAGCAGGCCCTGGGCCAGATACACCACATGGGCCGAACACAGGCTGCAGGCAGTTGGGCACGGGTAACCACCACAGGCCCTGGGCCTGATTTGTTCGGACTGGGGCTCAGCCTCACGGGGCCTACCGGAAGCTTCTGGACGGAGACCCAAGGCAGGCAGGCCGCACGCAGCAGGCAGGTCACTTCCATTTAGGAACGTGCCTGCCCCAGGACTCCTCATTCGGGCACTGGCTGCATGCTGCGCAACCGCTGCTGCGCTAGACGCTGGCTAGCGCTCACGCGCTCACGGGCGAGCTGGGGGAGGAGGCAGCCATAGCCGAGCTGCGCTGCTGTATGCTGGATGGGGCGGATGGTGGTCCTTGGGTGCACGTGGCATCTGTGAGTGGGGGATCGAGGTTGTGAGTGATACGAGAGACATACCTGGTGCTTGAGGTGAACGACATTGGCCGAGATCTGCTCGTACTTCGGGGAGCTGTTGACGTTACCAGCTGCATTGTAGATAGGGTAGATAGGATCTTCCATTTGTAGTCTGGGTGCAGAGCGGCAGATAGGATGTGCGACATTGGTTCTTTGTTGATGATGATGAGACTATCACAACATTCTCACTTACGATCTTTTGCTGTGTCGTGTTGCAATTCTGCTTTTGGTTCGAGGTCACGACTATCTGGTCACATGTGTATGATGCTGCTTGGTTTCTGAAGTTCGCTATCGCTCATTTTCCTTGCAGATGCACCGTCATATTCTTGCCTTTTGTGTATGTTGTGAATAGCGGACTCACGACATGCACATACGGCAAATGGCACGACAGTGTATCTTTCCATCTTCCAGCGTAAGATTCATTCTCGTTTTGCAAATTTGGTGTGTAGTGGTGTGAGGTCCATAGTAGCTTCCAGCGCCTGCATATGCGCATACAGGCTGTCAGTAACAATGGGACACTGTCAGGTGCGAATATGCAGGCGCTGCAGTCTACTGTGGGCCTCAGTCCACTACTTGCGAAATTTGCAAAATGAGAATGAATCTTATGCTGGAAAATGGAAAGATACATCACCATATTTTTGCCTTTTGTGCATGTCGTGAATAGTGGACTCACAACATGCACAAAAGCCAAAAATATGGCGGTGTATCTTTCCATTGCAAATTTCGTGAGTAGTGGAGTGAGGCCCATAGTAGATTGAAGTGAACCCATTTTTTTGTGACAGGCCATCAGTGACAGCGGGACACTGGTAGCCATTCTTTATTGCTTTTTTTTCTTCTTTTTCTTTTTTGTTTTTGCAAATAACGGGGAGCAGACGTTTCAATAGCTGCAGCATTCTTTATTGCTTTTCTTTCTTTCTTTTTTTTTTTCTTTTTTTTTGTTGTGAACTGCCAGATAACAGAATTGACTCCAGCCCGAAGCTGTGCCGACCTTGTGGGGGCACCTTCCGGCATGCTCGGAGGTTGAAAAAAAAGGCAGGGAAAGGTACTGGCGGTTTAACGTTGTCTTGTGCTCTTTTTCTTGACCTGTGTCTGTGCCAGATAATCCAAGATCCGGCCAGCCCAATGGATAGCACCCATGCAGTGTTCCAGTCCTTCGAGAATATCCGAAACTTCTTAGCAGCCACAGAAGCATTGGGAATACCAGGGTTTCTTGCATCAGACTTAGAGCAGGTGGGTGAGTTTTCAATGTTGTGGTGGTCATCCTATGGTCCCATGTGTACATGTTTGCGCTATGCGCACCTGCGTGTTGTTGTGCAAGATCAGCTAATGTGAAATGAAATCCGTCTAAAACCGACAAGGGATAAGAAAGAGTTCTGGAATGGCCATCTCTGTGTGGTTAATTTGGTTCGGTGTCCGGGGACCACACGTTGCATCTCATGAAAAGAAGGTGATCAGGAAAAGGGGAACCAATCCGTGCACCCGACAACAAAACTCGTTCATCAGGATGTGTGGCACTCAAAGGAAACCATTCATCAAGAAGCATCTGAAAAGGAGGGCCCGACTGTCCTACCATGTTGAGATGTAAGCACTGGAGCCTCTGGTACCAACAAAAAGAGGTGTTAATCAAGGGAGTGTTTGCATGGCACCAGGAGCTCCACTGAATACAGCGCTTTGATGCCCCGCAAAAGCAGCTGAACATTTTCGCCCATGGGAATGTCACCAGCAATGAAAGACCTCGGAGCCTGTGCGACATTCACTCCACAAATCAGGGGTGACACTGCCAGACCCTTGCACAGCACCAAAGAAAAACGATGCTGCACAGCACCAAAGAAAAACGATGTTGCAAAGGCAGCGGCTTCCCAAACAAAACACTCGTAGATAAGAAACCAAAAAAGTTCGGTGGTATTCCCTCCTATTTCTTGCATGCGGATTTCTGTATGCTGTCAGGCTCTGCTTTTTGTTTTTGTGAAACAAGCGGCATATGATAGGGCAGTTCCTTATGCTTTTTCTTTCTTTTGTGCTTTTTAGTTTTCTGTTTTTGCGGGCGAAGCTGCAACGGGTCATCTAGTACCCATGAAGGAATATCTTTTGACGTTTAATTGCTTGTTCGCGGCAGCCCAGTCTGGTAAGGGTTCTGCTGAAGCAGAATGCTAGGTGGCCATAGTGAGGGGTGTGAGAAAATATGCAGTAGCCATTTTAGTGACAATTGGTCGTTCAGCCCTGCCAGCCCTCACAAGGGGTTAGATTACACAGAACTCTAGGGGCCCATAGTGGTGATTTATGGGCAGAAATAGATATGATGATGTATGGGCAAAAAGTAGTGACAGCCATTGTGTTAAATGATAAATATATGATGCTTTTTGAATTCCATGAAATGAAAGGCCACTTTGGGGGTTGATACTTAGTGGGGGTTGGGACCCCCATGAGTGGCGATTTATGGACATAAGTAAATGTGGTGATGTATGGGCAAAAAGGAGTGACAGTCATTGTGTTAGATATCAGATACTTTTCTAATTCCATGAAATGAAAGCCCATTTTGGGGGCCAATGTTCAGAAGGGCCCGTATGGTGATTGCGCATGCTCTATGCCTCTCCCTCTCCCCCCTTTTGAACTGTAAATGTCTGTCTCTGAGCCCTGTTTCTTTTGTTGCTCCTTTGACACAACTGAGCAGAGTTAAAGCGTTGAAAGGTAATGAACGCTTTTTTTTTTGAATAACAGATCCTCGTGTTCCTGGTTGCATATCCATTCTGTGGAGCCTTAGTTGCGTTCCTTTCCCACCGGCAGAGTCATAGGAATCACATAAAAGGTCACTCCCACGCTCCTTGCTAAGTTGGATTGACTGTCCAGATAACCTTTTTGTTCTTGTATACTTCTGAGTCTCCAGGCTGCTGAGATCACCAGATCCCCTAGATGCCAGGGACATAATGTCTACCCTTAAGTGGGAAGCACATTTGCCATGTTGAGCATAGCCCCTTGAAGTGGTTCTGTTGTCTTTCTGGAAAGGGATGCCATCATCTCCAGTTAAGCCCTGTGTCTGTGATTTTGCTTCTCAGCAGGGGCTTCCCTGCGTAAAATCCGCACTGTTTTTCCCTTCGCCAAAGTCAAGCTTCAGTTTGAAGTTAAATCGAGAATGAGAAAGAAGAATTACGTAGCATCCAATGTGAGCAATGCGAAGTGTTACAATTTTCAGGAATCGTAGATACTACACCTTCATCAGACTTGCATGCTGATTGACATGAGACAGATCTTGATTGCAAACTTCACACAAGGCACTTGCATGCTTGATTGAGATGAGATCAGACTTCATTGCAAATGTCAGACAAGACTAGAATTGAACATTTAAATCGTTGATGACACCAGTGGAAACTCACATACATGTGAGGAACTATCTGGCGAACAACAAGATCTCACTGGCTAAGCTTGTGCCCAACTCCATCTTGTACCACCAAAAATAATATTCTTTCACCAAGCTGCAAAACTTTAACAAATGAACTAGAAGTGCATGCACTGACCCATGCTACATGCCTACGACCTATTGGGTGTGCCAACGTACAAGCCTGAAAGTTCTAGTCCCAGTTCAAAACTCACCGTATTTGCATCCCAGGTTCGTTTTCACCCCCTTCGAAGGGCGGCAACCTTGATTTATACTTGTCGAACTGAGTGGCCCCAGGTAGTTCAGTTCATTCATCCAGGTCTTCTGGATTCGAAATCAGGTCCGTATTTCAACACTTCACAGGTGTACCAACTGAGCCAGACCCGTGGGTATTTGTATCCCAGGCTCGCATCCTGGCAAGAAACAAACACAGTAAACAACTTGGAATACAACCTGGAATGCAGCAATATGTGGGGCAGCGTACGGGTTTAAATCCTGCTGATGTAATCATACCCAGGGCAGACTACGGACTGAAATCCTGCTCGCACAAGTTCTCCACCCATTTTAGATTTCTCGACAAGCAAACGGGGCAGATTCACGGTTGATCACAGAAAATTAAGATTGGAGTCATGGAATGTAAATGTACACCGTTCGCACGCACAGACAGGCCAGTCAGGTGTCTGATGTCAAGTTTTGGGTGATCGGCCATGAATGTGAGCCATCCTCTCGCACACGACCCAGATTCGTGGCCAATCTTCAATTCACATGGTGGTCATACATGTGGGCATCCTACCACACACCCACGCACAAAGTGAAAGAATTCATGCTGCAGACACCCAGTCCCGGTCCCAGGGTCCCGACCAAGTCCTAGGGCCGTCCCGTAAGGTAGGTCGTAGGGTTTAGAGGCCGAAGTGTCGTAGGTCAATAGGTGTCGGTACCAAAGCTTCGTAGGTCGGTAGGATTCCATCAGGCACCCGACAAGAAAAGTCCAGAAGCATCCAGTCCAGTCCAACAGTCCCAAGTCCAATTTTGCAGCATAGCCCAGGAAAGTCCGGAAGGAACCGGACGGACAAAATGTTTGCAGTAGACAGGCCGCGGCCGACTGGTACCAGTCTGAAGCAGGCCAAGCCAAGCCAAGCTAAGCGAAGCCTAGTCCTATATTTAGCTGCTACAGTGCAGCGGCTCGACACTCGTTCAGTTGCAAGATGCGGAATTACTGCTGCTGCTTGTGCGGAAGGCAACTTGGGGACTGTGCGCCTGAAGAAGAAGAGGGCGCTTGTGAGATACTCCATAGCTAGGCTAGAGGTAGAGCAGGAGGACGGCGGCCATAGCCACCAATGTGGGAGCTACCTGAGTGGGTGTATCCAGGGTGACGATCCAGGTTAGACAGACAGAGAGAGTGAGGCAGAGTGAACTAAGTCAGAGAGAGAAGCAAGACTGAGAGGGAGAGAGAGAAGAGGGAGACAGAGCTGGAGGAGACAAACACACTTGTATATTGATAATAATTTTGGGGATGACAACTTCCTGTGTGGATTGTGTCTCGATTACGTGTGAACTCTCATGTGAATGATCATTGATGTATGTGAGGTTGAACTTGACGAGTACTTGGTTCATTAGGCATGAAGCACGACTGGATTGCCTACAAAAGTTCCGCACAATCTTACTTGGCCTGTTCAGGCCACTACCTGTCCCGTCCGGTCCCGGTGACTCCTTGTCCATTGACTTTATGGACACCAAGGTCAAGAGCAGAAGCGGGAAGAGTCTAGTGATGGTGCTAGTAGATCACTTTAGTAAATTTGCTGTTTTTATCCCGCTGCCCGCTGAGGCGAAAACAAAATTAGTGATTAGAGAGTTCTTCAATCACTGGGTGAAAGACTACGGACACCCGCTGACGATAGTTAGCGACAGAGTAGATTCGCGGGCGAGCTCTGGCAACAGTTGATGGAAGTGTATGGGTCGAAGCTGACAATGTCTTGTGGTAGACACCCAGAGACTAATGGCCAGACTGAGCAGATGAATAAGCTGCTCCAGCAAGTGCTACGCATGTACATTAGGCCTGACCAGATCGATTGGGATGGACATCTTCCCAAAGTGCAGTCTACGTACAACTCGGTGCACTTGTGGACTCCACACACTCCTAATGAACTGCACAGAGGTTGGCAAACCCGACGTCTGATTGACTGCTTGAATCCAGATCAGATTCAAAGACTTCCGCACAGTATAAGGGAGTTTGCCATCCAATACGAGAAGGATCTACAGCAGGTCAAGAAGAACATCCGTATAGGTCGCCGAGGGAGACCACAAAGACAGTACAAGGTCAGATTCACCTATCATCGAGGACCGCTGGTCCCCCAAGAGAGAACCGATACAGATTGCCGCTCACATCGTCTCCTATTATGAGAGGGCTAGACGGGGAGTGAATGTGTACGATTGATGGAGTTGAGAATTTTTCTCGGAGGATCTCAAAAGTAGGCTGGTGGGAGTGAAAGGATTCATGCTGCAGACATCCAGTCCTGGTCCCAGGGTCCCGACCAAGTCACAGGGTCATCCCATAGGGTAGGCCGTAGGGTCTAGAGGCCGAAGTGTCGTAGGGCTGTAGGTGTCTGTACCGAAGCGTCGCAGGTTGGTAGGAGTCCGTCGGGTACCCGACAAGAAAAGTCCAGAAGCGTCCAGTCCAGTCCAACAGTCCCAAGTCCAATTTTGCAGCGTGTCCTAGGAAAGTCCAGAAGCTACTGAACCTACAAAATGTTTGCAGCAGACAGGCCGCGCCAGACCGGTACCGGTCTGAAGCAGACCAAGCCAAGCAAAGCTAAGAGAAGTCTAGTCCTATATCTCGCTGCTACAGTGCAGCGGCTTG